ATCACTTCTTTTAATATGCCAAAACCTGGTTTCTGTTCTTTGCTGCCATGTCTTCACCTCATTTCTTACAGTAGTCTTAAATACTTTTGTCCTTTTAGTTTCCAGCAATGCTAAAGGCACACCAGACTTTGATCACAGCCAGGTTCACGGTTTTGTTGATACAGCTGGAGGATCTTACCCATCACTAAGGGAGCTCCAGAGGAACTAGAATCTCAGCCACTTCTGCTTCCTGCTCGAGCCTGCTGTGATGGAATCCATGCCTTGGGAAAGTTCTCACTGGTCAACTGATACACTTTACTGTTTATCTAATCCCTCAAGAAAATTTATCCTCACAAATGTTATGTTTATACAAAATAAACACATTTATTTTAGTCAAGTATCAGCTTTTAGCTCAGCTGCTGAAATACAACTGTCATTTGGTCACTTTTACCTTCACACACACCCCCCATTCTGTTATTTTTATATCTTCTTCTTGCATCTCACCTCAATAATTACCTTTCAGGGAACAATTTCAACAGACCTGAGTCACAAAAACTCCAGTTATGAGTTAAGTGTGCTACTTAAATTACTATCAGGTTAATGCTGTTACTCTTTAATTGTGTATCCCTGCCCTTCCTACTTCCAAATACATGTTGAATTATTTATATCTATATACTTGCACTTCATAATCCCACTACCATTTGGTAGTATACCTAAAACCAAAGTATGTCCCATGCTGTGTACTGCCTATGAACATGCCTGGAGAACATAAATAGAGTTTAGTTTTCTTTAGCCAGCCCTTGAAACATTCTATATTAAAAGTAAAAGCCTCCTCTGCTCTGAAATGTAATAAATTGTATGGTTCTGTCCCTGTACACAGGGAACAGATCTCACAGTGGTGTGTTCAGAGAGCACGTAATACCTAGAAGGCATTGTCATAACTACTACAATTTGGTAACAGAATGGATTTCAATAAATACTTCTATTAGAAGTAAAAAGGCATACATAACAAAAAGAAAAGTATTAAGGGGTAACAAATTCCACACATACTGAAACAGTAAGAGTAAAAAATTGATAGGAGGGGATGATGATATCTCTTGGCAACAAGAAAGAAAGAAAACAAACAGGGATTTATAAGAACAAAAGAAATCACAGCCCTCTCACAGGTGGGCTACTAAACAGGGACTCGGATCTACATCAACAGTCCAAAAGGGCAGATACAGTCAATAAGTAATTCAGCATTTCTAAAGAAGTGGGATGATTTCGCTGGTCCTCATGAGAATGATTAATTACTTCTTCAGTCTATTACAAGTACAACGTTAAAACAACATTACTTTGCAATAAACATTCATGGTCAGAAGGACCAAAGATCATAGCAGAGGGTTCTCACAGAAGCCTCCAAGGGGATTTCTATCCCACCACCATGAATTTCCCAGGGGAATTTCAGAAGTCTGAATGAACACTCATGTTACAACCGCACTCTAAAAGAGTATCGAGTCAATGTTTACAGCCATTGGAAGGTTGTAAGGATGGCAGTCCTGAGCAGAACAACAATTTAAGAAAAAGTATATGCAATTCAACAGATACATCAGAGCTCTGTAACAAATAATAGGAAGAAAAATCAATGAACATTGATCTTCTTAAAAGAATGTGGTTTTATTCTTTGATACAATCGCTATTTCCAATTGGTACAAATATGACTATCGATGTATAAACTTCCATTGCACTTGATGTGGTGTCCTGTAATAGCCTGATGACCAAATAGCACCAGTTAAGCAGGTAAAGAACTGCTTAAATGACATCTCAAAATGAAAAAAAGCAGCTTTAGAGAAGAACACATCACAACATAACAGATTAACACGGAGTTCAGCAAAAGTGGAGCCACTATCACAAAAGAGCTTTCCAATCATTTATAAGTCTACACAAATGTGACAAAATTTGCACAAGGTATAAATAGACAGAATGCTGCATAAGGAAGATAAATCATCTACAAAAAGTGACCAGGTTGGTGTCTTCAACCTATGCTAAGAAAGAAAGCATCCTTTAAAAAAGCCATGTACAAAGTTATAAAGCTACAACCAAGAACCACATGCTAGACTACAGAATGATAAACTCCCATGGAAAGAAACAGGGTTTGCCCCAGTGAGCATAGCCAGTGAAATTGAGATCAAAACACAGTGCTGCAGGTGGAGGTTTCATATGGAAATGCCATATAGAACCAGCAGAGTAACACTACAGAGGTAATATTTAAACCAGGCTGTACCCAGCTCACGTTTTCACAGAAACACTGAAAGAGTGTATTAGGGGAAAAAAAAAACACAACACAGAAATGGAGTTGTGAGGAAAATGCATGCAGTGACAAATATAAAGAATTTTAGCTCTCCCTTTCTTTTTTCCAAACAGAAAAAAAGAAAGGGGATACTGAGTTACAGCGAATAAATACCTCCATGGTAAGAAGATACTTTGAGCTCTTCAGCATAGTGGAGGAAAGCACACCATTAGCCTGTGACTGGAAGCTGAAGCCAAATAACTTAATAAAGCACAGATTCTCTACCTCTTACTGTCTTCCGATCAAAATTCCAATTTTTCTGGAAAATACATTTCAGCCAAATGCAAGTTCCTGCACTCAAAAGTAATTGAATAAAATCCAACTGGCTGTAATAGCCAAGGGGTCAGAGCAGCAGATTTAATTGGTTCCTTTGGCTTTAAAGTCTCAGGCTATGAATACTCTTGGTTTTCAGTGTTCAAAGGCATTTTGGTAGCACCGTACATGCTCAACATTAATATTAAAAGAACTCTCCATAAATTAGGGTTGCATTTCCTTTTAAGGGCTCAAGTGACACTGGAGCTTTCCCGTTGAGGCTTTTGTCATCAGCAGAGCCCGTTAACAGAATTACAGCCATCTCGTACACAGCTGAGGTGGCACAGCTGTAAACAATGATTTACACAATCGAGTGCAAAAGTTCATCCTTCACATCCATACTGTTTCTCCTCTAGAAAGAATTCTGTTTGACCTGGATTATAAAAAGCCTGGCACAATACATGATATCAATCATAGACGCTGTAGGTAAAAGGGAAAACCAGCAGCATTGTAGTAGCCACGAAGCCAGCAAAAGCTGTTGTTCGCATCAGCAACATCATTTGAGACTACCCCTATGGATGCTACTTATCTACTTCATACTCCCAAGCACACAGCATTCCCTGCAATCTTGACAAGTGAATAGAATCACTGTTTCTTACAGAATGCATGCCAAAACAATGCATAATGTGTGGTTTGGTATTATTCAGGCTGATAGAATTTTGCTGTAGTATTGGCTGCTGTGGTATCTATAGATTTCTAAAATAACAGGGGTTTTGGAGCATATCTATCCCGATAAAGTATAAACAAACTTCTAATTCAGCAAACGGAAGCTTAAAGAGGCTGACAGCATCTGAAGCATGCTAACAATCCAATAAACGTTCTGCCACTACACAACCGATGAGGGGAGAAACACAGCCACCAACTGATCATTTCAACTGACGGAGCATCACCTTAAAAAAGAAACAGGCACTGCACGCAACCGGCAAGACACGAGGGAGTGTGCTCACCCTTCTAACCTACGGAGAAGCAGGTGCGTGCCACCTACTCCTCACACGACACCCGGTCATAAAGATGGAAAAGTTACTTTCCCAAAGTGAAGGCACATGGATGCTCCCCATAGCACCCACAACATCAACTCCCAATGGGCAAGGCAGCCAGGGAAGTCTTACAGCAGCGACATCGCTCCCCACCACCACATCTAAGCAAAACTTCCACTCCAGACATCACACAATGAGACCTTTGGCCACCACCTCTCAGCCAACATCCATGCAGCTTTTCACCATCCCCCGGGAAAAGATAAAGCCACGTTTTAAACTTTAGCTCTTTGCCACCGGAGCAAATCCTTGGTTGCGAGCTGGCACGTTTTGGGTGGGATACGATGAGGGTGGTTAAGAGGTCCCAGCACCCCTGCAAGAGGCCTAAAGGGAAGGGATGGAAGAAGCTGCTTTCTCCGGCACCCCCTCCCCACCGCAGAGCCCCTCGCCCCTTCCCTGCCATCAGGCAATCAGAGCAGCAGCAGCCACTGTAAATTACGGAGACGCACAGTGGATGGAGAACAGGGAGGAAGAAACCTCTGATGCCTGAAGAAAGGAGAATCATGTAAAACAGTAAAAAAAAAGGACTTAAAATAACACAGAGCTAGGTTTCACCTCGAAGGCAAAGAGGTGAATAAGTGAAACACCACACCTCTGACCCTTTCTTTTCTTCCTGACATCTAATCCCCCTCTTCCCATAATACACACACCACAAAATGACCATTAATTCAAATCCATTCTTTAAAGGAGGAGGATTATCTCTGTGACAGACTGTCTCTTTTACCGAGCAAGAATTAAAATTGCATTTAAAGGAAAAGAAAAGGATGTGGGGGGGGAAGAAAAGGCAGCATGATTATTATTTCTGGTGGGTGCGAAATATGTGCACGGGGAGAAGGAGTCTGGGGGATGGGGTGGAGTGGAGAAAGGTGGCTAAGGAGAGAAGAAAGAAACGGAGGACCAGGAAGCGCAAGGAGGGATGAGGAGAAGGCGAGATAAGGGGGAAGGAGGATAAGGAAAGAAGGATGAAAGGAAGGCGCTCGGGGAGATGGGGGGTGGGAGGATGAAAGGGAGGAAGGGATGAGGGGAAGAAAGGAGGATGCTTTGCCCTGGCCTCACCTCGGCTCGGTGGGTGGGGGTGGGAGAAGCTCTCACCGCCGCCGCCTCCTCCTCCTCCCCAGCAGCGCCGGTCACTGACGGGCTGGCTGCGCGGCGCGGCGCGGCTCCCTCGCACAGCGCCCGGCCCCGGCTCCCGCCTCCCCGCCCTCGCCGCCCGCCTCCCGCCGCCGGCCCGAGCCGCTCTGAGGGGACCCGGGCGCTGCCGCCGCGGCCGCCAGCCTCCCCGCGGCAGCCACTAGGGGAGGAGGAGGCAGCGCGCCTGCGCCACCGGTACCGCTGGGCCGGGAGTGGGGAGCGGGGGGCGAGGGGAGGCCTTGCTGCCGCTGCCGGCCCCGGCTCGGCCGGTCTACGGGCTGACTGCGGGCCGCCTCAGTGCGCAGTTGCTGTGAGTATGGAGACGGCGTTACCGGGGGAGGGAAGGGGTCGGGGGTGTGAGGGGAGGGGAGCGGGGCTGGCAGGAGGCGCCCGAGGGGCCGGAGGGGACAGAGCTGCGGTGTAGGGCGGGGGAAGGCTCGGAGGTAGACCTAGGGTGGCCGGCGGCAGGTGGAGGGCCGGGCCGGGCCGAGCTGAGGGCACCCCAGTGAACGGGCTCTATGGGGCTCTGGAAAGCGGCCCCGGGGGAGGGATGGGGGTATGGCGCATCCCGTCAGCGCGGTTCGGTGCCCGTGGTGTGCCCATGGTAAAGCGGAGGAGGCCGAAGGTGGGTGTGGAAAGGCCGCGCCCGGCAGTGGGGGCTCCGCCGGGGACCGGCACTGGAGGCTGTGACAGAAGGGGCTGGGGGACAAAGAGGTGGGGGGGGAGCTCATGGGGATTTATTCTCGTCCATCATCTCTTGTGCTGCTGCAGATGCTGTGCAGGGGGAAGGTGACTGATGTATGAGTGTACCACCAGGACTGACTCCAAGTTCTCCTCTTAAGCTACATCAACTTTGCTTGTGGCTTTCTTTCCTGCACCAAACGCAAGGTTTTGTCCCTCTCTGCGAAGCATTGCACTTTTCTTTGTCCTGTTACATCACTTGTGTTGCTAATCTGACCAAGCATAAAGGTTTTTGCTATGCTGCAGCACCTTCTTTTGCTGTTTCCTTTGGGGGGAACATGCTGCCACCCTCCTGCTCCGGAATCGCTGAGCCTGGAGTTCTGTAAGCCCTGCTGGTGAAAAATCCCTGTGGAGTAGGTGTTGTTGAAGGGGCTTTGCTGTTTTGAGGCAGTGTGATCCCACTGACATGCCATTGTTCCACACACTTCTTGTGGAATCCATCTGCTTCCCCAGCTTCTACGTAAACCCGGAGCCAACAAGGAGAGGAGGATGATGAGTCCTTCAGTGCTTTTACCTTTTGTTGCCTGTTTTAGGCTTGGAGGGAGCTTGCCAAAACATTTTCCCTGCCTCAGCCTGTAAGCGAATGATGTGAGTAGTACAGGTATCTGTTAGGCCTCAAGCAGAGGCAGTAGCTGCCAGTCTTTTTATTCTCTCTTCCCCAGCCTGACAAAAAAATATAATCAGGCTCTGTATTCATTTTTGCGATGAATAAATGAGGAAAGGAGCTGAGCTGGAACCTTAATTCCCCCTATAAAGGCACAACAAGGGAGTCTAAGGGAGAGTTTGAAGTAGGGAAAAACATTTCTTAGGTGAGAGCTTATTTAAATATTAATTTAAATGTGGTTGTATTCATCATGTACAGACATATAACAAATGTAAGTAGTCACAGTCAGTAGTATACAGAAATACTTTGAATTATTTTAACCCTGTGATATCACTTAGGACTGAAACATGACCTATTCTGCATGTGTAAACAGAGATCGTACTGGACTGACCTCCCCTTTATGATGATGTGTAACTTACTGCTGTAAGGCAGACTAAGTATACAGTTTGTGTCTTCCATAGGCTTTCAGGTTGCATCAAATTAGTTTTCTAGGTATCGTCTTTCCCATGCTATTGAATGGAGCCATGTGATGTTAGGAAACCTTTACTTACAGACCTTTGGTTTCTTGCCTTCATTTCTATGCTCCATGTCTCAGATTGCTGGTTCTTCTTTGTTGTGACTGGCTAGTCTATTGTGAAAATGAATGGAAACAAGCAAGGTTCCCAAACAGAACATAGTGAATTACCCACTCCTTTATCACAGTGCATTACACCATTAGCTGGAAGTCAGCTAAGTTTCTCCAGGCATTTGACAAAAAGGAGCATGACCTATGGTGTATATATAAGAATCACAAGTAGTAAATAAGCATGAGTATGAAAAATGATACAACTTCTTCCCTAAGCTGCAAATACATCTCTTGTAAATTCAAACCAAAGGACTCATGCAGCTATCTATGAGTGCTTCTGTTTAAAGTGTGTCAATTTAAGAAACAAATCAGATTACCTGCCTAGTCCAGATTACTTTATCTGAGACAGAGGACATGGATTGCTGGGCTGTTGCTGAGAGCTCTGCCAGAATGCTATGAAGAAATCTGAAAATCTGGAAGAAGTGTATGAACTTATATTTCTTTCATGGTCCTGAAAGAGGGCTTTGTCCACTGTTTATAGCCATTTCTTTCTTTCCTTTAGGTTATTAACCAGTTGTTAAAACTACCCTTTTTTTTTTTTTTTAATCACTGCTAATTGTCTCAAAGGAAAAGATGAAAACTGAACTTGTTACCAGAGTTTACTAAAACCAAGATAAGATGCTAAGCTGTTCTGTAAATTAATGTAGCTTTCACCAGCCAAGGGAGGTCAACTGACTGTCCTCGCAAACACTTGCAACTGCCAACATTCAGATACATGTAGAAAAGAGACATCACTTAAGCATCAGAAATATTGGGCACTTTGATCAGAAAGACAGGCAAAAAGACCATTCTGCTTAAGTGAAACATGGTTGGATGTTTTTTTTAAGTTCTGTGCAGGCTGTGGAACTGTCTGTCCCAAAATAGAACCCAAATATTAAGCATTGAAAATAAGAATGATTAGAGAAAAACTACAGGAAAAAATACAAAGAGTCCATGTTTCGCATTCGTCAGTGAGCCTGGTCTCTGTTGGCCATTTAATCTTTAGTTTTCATAACAACTTTCATGTTGAGTTCTGCAATACATAGTTACTCAAGGAGTAACTAGTTAGATACACTTGCCTTCACTTTAGCTTTTACTAAGAGTGCAGCTGATTGAAGTGGGAAGTTCAGAGGGGAGCACACACTTGGGACACATAAATACACATGGGCTAAGATCTTGGAAGAGTTGGGATTCTTGAAGCAGCAGCCCTCAGCCTTAGTCCACTATGTGCCACGAAAACAAACTAATTGTCCTGTCATCTCTCTAGGTGTAGTTGTCCTTTTCTATATAAAAGATCATCAGGAAATGAGTAGTCTCATTGTTGAAAGGTGTTAATGCAGGACCTAGAAGTGGTGTGGTCAACCAGAAGGTAGTAGACAATGTGCAGTATTTACGTTGTGGAGACTGCATGGCAGAATGAGCATTTAGGTCCCCTAAGTGTAGTGCTCTTTGCTGCTTTTAAAGAACTCAAAGCTGTGTGATCCTTTAGATTAAAAGCGACAGAAATCAAAGGGGTTTTAAGTTCCTCTGCTTAAGGAACTGCATGTTGGCACTTGTGGTTATATAGGCAGATTGCTGGTTCCAAGGGTATCACACAGCAAATTTCAGCACCTGGCAGTCCCAGTTTCAAAGTGACCTGTTTGCTGATGCCTTGTCAGATCTGAACTTGATTTTCTAAATCAAATGTCTTTGTAGCCTTTTTATATTATTTCATTTTTATGACAACATTAGATAACAGGTACCTTGCCATGGTGTAATGTACTGGAAGTAATTTTCTTCTGTGTGCCATTTGAATCTGTAGCAATCAAATAGTAACGTGTTACCTACTATTGCAATAGTTGTGGATACAGGTGTTCTCCATACAAATGCATGTTCTCCATACAGCATACAAAAGGACTTCACACCTAGGGTAGGTCTAAAATTAAACTGAATATATTTATAAATATAATCACAGTATTATAGCTTAATGCTAATTCCAGCTTTTTTTTTCTTTCTTCTTTCTTTTAGCATAACAATTAATTTATCCTTTTTCCCCCCACATTTGTCTTAATTACTTGGCATTTAAACTTTTCCCATAATATATCTGTCCTGTCATTTAGTTCTTTTTCTCAATTTTATTCTCTTTTCCTAGCATTCAAATACTCTTCAATATCAAATCCTTCAATAAGACTTACTATTTGACATGTTTTCAGTCTTAAAAGAGGTTAGTCCATGCCCTGAAGTATTACAAAGTATGTCTTTATCTTTACATCTAGCTCTCAAGAAAGTACCACAGCAGGAATTAGCCCCCTTGTTCCAGCATATTGTTAAAGCACTGGGTCTGCATACACGCACAAAAAAAGCCCTCCACACCTTTCGCTCAGCTTTTCTCAGGCAGAACAGAGATTATTGCTAAAAATGGTCTCAATTGTTTGCTTCAAGAACATGAACTTTTTTGAGTTCTTATTTCCTCTGTTACTATCTCAATATCTCTTTGTGTCTAGGTAGACTTTGTTTCTTTCACTACCTAATCCTGATCCCCTGTTCCTATTTGTGCTTTATTGACAAGTATTTCTGAGAATAGAAAAGCTAAAACTAGCAGGGCTTTAACAGAAATAATCCGTTAACTTATCTAAAGGATAGAAATTGAGGAGGATCTGTATCTCTTAGGCAACTCAAGCAGACTTTGAAAGCTGCAGGTGTAACCTAGAATACTTTAAGCTTCCTTTAGGCTCAGTTATCTTTAAAGACAAACCAACAGTTTCTTTAAAGTAGATAGTTCACTGCCTATACTCAAGAGAGGTTGTCATGCCATTCTGAAAGACATTTTGGTGCCTTGTATTAATAAAACATTATCTCTCGAACTTTATTCACTGGGTGTACATAAATATACAGAGATTGACTAAAATCATTCACTGTCCCTGAACATACTTGGGTACCTTTTACATAGGTATTTTAGAGACCTGTATTTTGTTTTAGGTATCTCATTTTTGGCACATTTGCTTGAGCAGTGGGTGGCAAATAACTGTTGCTTCCTCTTTGCAGTGAGGCACTTCCGTTCTAGATACTAGCATGAGCAGCACAGTAAGCAAGAACAAAACCTTCACAGCCTGCAGGTCATTTAAATTGGGTATTGTATAAGGAGTCATATGCAAGGTGGCTTCTGACACGAAGAGTCTCCTGCCTCCCATGCCCTCTGCCACACCTTTTGACTGTTTTCTCTGGCTCAAAAGCATCTGCGAGTCAGAGCATCCAGGGATGTACCCTGACTTGTACCTCTGAAGCAGCTAAAAGGCACATAGCAGATGCAGTCTGTTTTGAAGAAAACACAGGGTTTTTTTCAATCCACTTCTTTATACTGAGAGAATGAGGCTACTCCCTTCACTTCTTTCAGAAAGCTGACTTCAAAAATGCAACAGAAACACAAAAAGACACCTGCTCTTTGCTGTTGTCAGGCTGATGTTCACTAGATTAATGATTTTCATAGCAGACTTTTATAAGGCCTTTTCCTTAACTGGTTTCTTCTCAAAACCATGGAAATATACTCTAAATTTTGTTAAAATTTTGAACTACAGTTGATGCCACCTGTTAGCAGGGGTTTGTGGAGGCCTTTAGAGGGTAGATTTAGACTAGATCTTAGGCAGAAGCTCTTCCCTGTGAGGGTGCTGAGGTGCTGGCACAGGGTGCCCAGAGAAGCTGTGGCTGCCCCATCCCTGGCAGTGTTCAAGGCCAGGTTGGACACAGGGGCTTGGAGCAAGCTGCTCCAGTGGAAAGTGTCCCTGCCCGTGGCAGGGGTTGGAACTGGATGAGCTTTAAGGTCCCTTCCAACCCAAACCATGCTGTGATTTTATGATCTCTCATCCTTTACTTGCAAGAAGGGCAATGTGTGGTAGGTTTATTTTGGCTCTGTATTTTGAAAGGGGGCTAGAGAAAGAAGGGCTTTTAAAGCTTGCATATGCTCAGGGAATGTGCTACAAACTGTGGAATATTCTCATACATTTATAAGATTTATAAATTGAGACTCAGAAAAATAAATTCTCAGCTCTTCCTCAAGCCTCCTTGAGTAACTCACTTGACTTCTTCAAAGCTGCCTCACTGTCTCTACATCTGTTTTCTTAATTATACTTGCGTTGGAAAACTTGGGGTTTATATCTTAAAGCTCTTCTCTCCTACAGAAATCTTGATCAGATAAGCAGCTCTTAAGCAGTGAGTGCTGATTTCCGTGTTGACCACCACCTTCTAGCTGTTTCCCATCTGTTGTTCGTAAATACTTCATGTCTTGTGCTGCTGCTGTTGTTAGCTCCTTGGAAAACAACCTCAATTTTCTTATGTTTGCACACAGCATCAAAACAACAGGAAATCTGTCCATGACTGTGAATCCTACACAATGCCAGAACATTGTGTATTTCAATGACTGGAACTTATCAGAGGGAAACAATTATGTTGCAAGCTGTAAGATAATGTAGCTCATATGTTCACAGAGTATGTGTTTAGTTTATGTCTTGGTGAGGGGTGAGAACGAGGCAAGTGAGAGAGAAACCAAAGGGGGGAGCTGGGCTGAGAGTGAGAGAGAAGGGACAGGAGGTGGTAGAGGAACCCTGCAGAAGATGCACAAATTAAACACTGCAGGAAGTATTTTTGCCTCATGCCTTTGCAGAGCTAGATAAACTTGTCTTCTATTCCTGCTCTGTCCCTGGAATTCCTTTCTTTTCCTGACTAGAGGAAGGCTTAGGGAAAAGGATTAATATCCAGATGCTAATAACTATTACAAAGTAAGAATGACTCTCTTCGAAATTTTCAGTCAAAGGAACAGAAGGTGTTTCTATGCTGCCATGGCTCCAAATACAGTTCATTAAGTATTCCTCCATTGAAGAAAACAGCCAATGGTTTTGCTTCACTTCAGGGAAATTATGGTCTTCATCCTTCTGCTTTTTCAATTATTATGTGCTGTTGCACTTTCTATACATACGAGGTGGGATGGAAAGCTGTCTGGTCCTCACTCATCCGTGTGAAAATTGCTGGATTCCTCCACTGAATCATAGTGCTTTTCTGAAATGTCATTTGCAAGTACTGGGCTAAATTCTGATCCTTTCTCAGGCCTTATTATGCAAACTCCTGTTGTCTTTCTGAGACTTTTAGTAAACAAAACATGACTGGGAATATCCATATCTGACATTGCATCTTGGTAATCTAGAGGAAACTAGCTGCAGAAACTTGCTTTTCTTTTTATTAACATTTCCTTCTGTTTATAATTTATGGTTTGCGCTATATTAAAGATTGTCTGTACTTAAGTAGGGCATAAAACAGATACTTGTGATATATTACCTGCTAAACATTGTTTTTGTTGGACGAAATGCAATCACTTAAATGTGTTTTCCATCTTGTGGGCACAGAGTCATGATGAGATACAATCAAGTTTTGTTTGAGCCACAATAATGTTTACAGAAATTATCTCCCACATCTTGAAGTATGTAAAATTCCTAATTTATTTTTTTCTCTGTTGACAGAAGCCCAAGATGAAGCATCTTCCCATTCATATCTTTTAAAATGCACTAAAGACTTTTAACTAAAGCATGGCCTGAAGAAAGTTAATGAAGTTGTTAGTAGGCTGCGTCAGAAATGAAAAGGCTGTGGATGGTTCTGGTCTTTTCCTTCAGGCCTTCATGAATCATGAAAATGACAGAAAGTTGATTTTTTCTGAAGGAGCAGCAGCTGTAAGTGAAAAAAGAAGAGGAAAAATCAAGAACAAAATTAAGCAATGGAAAGCTGATGACAAGAGCCACTACTGGTGCTGACCAATCTGTTGCAAGCTGAAATTTTCTTGCATCTTAATGGAGCTTGTGACCTAATTTACAAAGTCTTGTTAATATACTTTTTTAGAAGGGTCAAACTTTTTTCCTGCTAAAGATCATGTACTTCAACTAAGAAATCTTTCCTCACCTACAGTATCTACAGTATGCATTACAGTATAATGTGTTCATACAGTATATGAACATATTAATAAGTCATGAGCAATAATCCTGGAGTATTTCACACCCCTTTGCCCTGTCCTCACTTTTCATTTACAGTTAAAGAATGATACAAAGAATTCCTTTTTGTGTTTGTTTGTCATGACCAGTGCAAATAATCACATGGGCTTATGAAGGCAGAAAGTTATCTAGCAGCAGGCTCATCCACTTCCAGTTTGGAGATGAATGTAGTTTCAAACAGAAATAAAATGACATTCTGAAAATCCACAGATGGATTTTCAAACAGATCCACAAAATGGACCTATTAATAGTGAGAGAAATAAGAAGCGTGAAAAGAATACTCCATGTAAAATTTAACATGCCACATTTAGGTAAAAATCTTGATTTTAATATCAAAAATACTCTGCGCATTCAAATTGAATTATGCAGATTATTACTTCTGAAAATGGTTGCACCTCTTGATCGAAGAGGTCAAGAGCTGCATCAAGGCCTTACATACCTTACATGAAGCACACCTCAGATGGGAAGGACACTGCAGGAATATTTATATTTTCAAAGCATTCTTCATATTTCAGTGACAGCTGAATGTGACATCCCTTAAAGAAAGAAAGAAAACAGACAAATGCTTTTTCATTAAATGAATGAACCAGCTCAGAAATATTGAAGGGATGTCTAGTGAACTATAATGATCGTAGGACATGCAACAATATGTTGTGGAGGGAATACACCTGTCACTATCCTAATCTGGATTCCTCAGAGAGGATACTAAGATCCATTCCATTTCATGATTTGTTCATGCAGACTACATAAAATACACTGTAAAAATGAGTTATTTTCCATAACAACGTTTTGGCAAATGAAACCAAAACGGGTTGCTATGACAGTTCTCACAAATCTTTCTATTTTATCTGGGTTTTGTATTATAAATATGTCAAGATGAAGCAATTTCTGTCAAAACAGAATTTTTTCCTTTTGGGAAAGTTTCCTTGGCATTTTTTTTAATACCTTAATTTTCAGTATTTGTCAAAGTCAGGATGAAGACTAATTTCAAATGCTCTAACTTCCATCTGCATCATCATAAACCCATGGGAACATAGCTTTAGTATTATAAATGAGTCATGTCATTGGATACAGTGTTGTTAGTTTAATTGACTTTGTTTACTGCTCTGTATAACGAGTGACTGAAAAATAAATGACACTCAACATTGGCTAAACTGTTTCTAGTGGTTCCTGAAATGAAAGTCAACGGTGTAGATATGAGCCATTGCATGAAAATATTAACAGGTCTGATTTTTGTTCCAGTAGCACAATGCCATGTGACATTTAAATGGATACAGGGAATTGCATCTAGTCCTTTGTAAATAAGAACTCTCAAAGGTACAGACATAAAAATAGCACAGATCTATTGTATAGACTCCACTGATGACATCTTATATAAGGGACTCATATAATATTGGTGCTGCTGGACCACTGGAAGTTTTAGGTAATAGTGCAAGTAATAATTAGAAAAACAAATGTCTTTTCTGTGCCAGTGCATTTACAGGATAAAGTTGATTCAAAGTTTTTATGAGGGACAGTATTTAGCAGATGGGGATAGTTTTCACATTCAGAGGTGTGGAAAGGACTGTGTATTTTCAGGTTTTTGATTTCTTGATGTCAGAACATAAGAACTATAGGTTGGAGAAGGAGTTGCCAAAAATAGAGTTCACTTGATAAATTATGGTTAAAGATACATCTTTAATTAAAATTCATAGATATGCCTCCCTGAAATTAACCCAGATGTGACTGTACACATGGGTTAATCATAGGGTTTGATGCAAAGGGGTGTTTTGAATTACCAATTGATTGTATCTCAAAAGACTGGCTGTCAGCTGTATGTTGGTTTATGCCACAGTCTCCCAAAATGTGATCCAAGAGCTACAACGTGGCAACGATATATGCCTGAGTTGTGTCAAGAAAATAGAAATCATTTTATGATGTCTGCTTATTTCTGGTGCTCTGAAGTTGCTAAGAAAGAAGGAAAAGGGAATACCCTAAAGCAAGGAAGAAGACAACCAAAAAGCTTATTGAAAAAGAAGAGGGAGACAAGCAGAGGGTGTAATATTCTGAAAAGGGAGGCAGGAAAGAGCTGATCAATGAGCTGAGGAACTGCAGGAGCCAGCGTTAGTTGTGTGTCTCAGCACATGTTGAAAGGCATTGTGCTTGCAGGGATAGAACACAGACTTTTCTCTTGTTCTTTTCTCACCCAGACTGTGGCATTGTCTCAGAGATGTTAAGCAGTAGAGAATGGGAAAATAAAAAAAGATGCTTCATACAGTTGTGTGTAATGCTGTGGAAAATTATTATCATGAAACATTAGAGAAACTCATGATTTATTTTCTTTTTATTATTCAAACTTTATCTGCCTTCACTCTTCTCCCTTCCATGCTGACATGAATACAACTTTTGCAGTTGCCTTGCAAGGAGCAAGATACATTTATTTTATGCTTTTATTTTAATGTTTTGACATTTTTGTCCTGTTAGCTGGTTATAAATGCATATGGTTTGGGAGAGCTTGGAGTAATAGAGAGTAAAACTGAAAGTGCTCCCGGAAATTGGTTATTTGTATAAAGCTGATGAGAAAACAAGTGTTTTATGTGAGGGCTCTGACTCTGTTAGAGGCCATTTGGCTCAAGGACAGCAAACTTGTTGGCGCACATATTTAGGTGTCTCTGTCAGTACACTGCTTTGTACCATGCACAGGAAAGCAGCATGTATCAGTTGCTTTTTATTACATATTGTGGATGTACAGACAAATTGATTCTGTGAGTGTGTATAGAAGCACAGAAATAATGACACCAGAAGCAGGCAGTGAATAAAACGCAGCTGCAGGCTGCCATGAGGGAACTGGAGATGCTGCTGAGTGGGGGGTACCTGTATAGTACCTTTCATAAAAAGACAAAGGAAAAATCTCTTACTCTGTAAAACCTCTCCAGCTAAACACAGTAACACGTGTCCAAAGACTTCTGTCACTCACCAGTCCAGGCCATTGTGCATTTAGTCAGGTTCTAGACATGGAGAAACTGTAAAACCAGAAGGCAGCATGTATAAGACAACACTTTCAAAGGCTCAACAGGTGTAAATTTATGAAGGGGTAAATAGCACACGGGTACTAAGAGTATGTAATTGCTGCACTAGCTATGAACATGTTTGAGGGGGCACTATCATAGAAATATAAGAGCAAATGTCAAAATAAAGATGTTCAAGGTCATGTGGAAAGGAAAAAAAAAGGGTTTACCATTCAGCACCTGAAAGGTGCTTAAGTTGTATGTCACTGATACTTTCTCAACTGCTTTATTCCTTCCCTTTAATTCTTATTCCTTACCTAACAGTAAAAAGCTGTGAGAGTGTTTCAAATCTGTGATTTATTTGGCTCTCTAAATGTTTTAATAATCTTGCTAATAATTTAAGAAAAGACATACAAGCAACCATAAAAGATGAGCATTATTTAAAAGTATAATGACCTTTTTAGAATATTAAGAAGCACGCTGCTACCTGAAGTATTGAATATATATTTTTATTATTTATTGAGTGGCCAGAAATATCTTAAGAGCCTCTTAGGTAGTATGTAATAACATCCCTTTCCCAAAAGTGGGTTGAGGCTTATGTAGCTTTCAGTTACAACATGGGTCCCTCTTTAAAGTCCCAACCGTACAGAAGGCACTAACACAATAAAGGGTCCAAATCCTGTACACCATGAGTATCTCCTTTGACTTTAATATGCCTAAACCTGGAGTAATCACCGCAGGGTATGGTCTAGTAAATGTTAATGAGAAATTATCTTGAGCTCTTGTTGTCCCCAATGCTGCAAATGCCTATGATGTGATGGTGTACACTGGCCCCTTGGTCTGCCTTGGGTGAAACTCCCTCTTTCACATCACAAGAACAACAGGGAGCCACTGGTGATGGGAGGGATGCTGCCAGGTCACTGCCCACAAAGCAGGATTACATAAAACAAAGGAGTAGAGTGCTCTGAGTTTGACTTAATGAAGCACCTAATGCTAATAACAGTGGTGTAAGGGAAGGAGAGAGCAGCTGTTGTTATCACAAGATCCTCCAAGTTAACACCTTAATTATTGTACCTTTTATTAGTTACAGGCAATTATAAAGATGTAAATTACAAGGTAGTTTGATAAGTTACAGCTGTGTGGACACCATATCTAAGCTGAAACTGTAAGAGTAAGATACGGAGCAAATAAGCTTTAATACTATCGTATTATGCATCTCACCTCTCCCTCTGAGAGTTTTTGGTAATCTTATTTCCAACCAGTATGTTGGAAAGAACATTTTCTTAGTAAGCAACTATTTAGGAATGCCGATACATTCTAATACGTTGAGGACTGATTTTATAACTCTTTCTGTATAAGGTGACAGTGGATATCTCTTGAAAAATTGCCTCATCTCTCTCTGTTTTATCTCCAGATTCTCTCTGAAAACAGTATCATTACAAATTATAATGAAACTCAAAAAGTGACCAGAATAGTAATTGAAAGAACATTTGAGACTTAGATGCTTAGATAAATGTGATGGAACGGGACTGGACTGCCCTTCAAGAAAGTTCAGTGGAGTCCTGGTGGGTGTATGATATGTAATACAGCCATTAAATAATGTTCATCTGTAAAGAAGAAAAGGAAGCAGTTTAATGAGTCAATCCAAATTACTGAAGTAAATGACCATAATGATATACACTTGGAAAATTATGTCATGATAAGGCAGAGGAAATTAAATTTAAGGTGCTAGCTATATGGAACCAAAGTGTAAGCCGGAGTAAAACTGATGCCTCTATTCCAAAGTGGTGCACGAGTAATGGGGTGTGTAGCCATGGGATTGCAGCCCAGGAGAGGAGCTGCTGCTTCTGGCTGTTAGGCAGACCTCCTGGTGTTGGCTCATATGCACTTTCAGTCTCCTGTGTCTTTATGTTTCATCCTGGAACTATTTTAGTGTCAGTAAAATGGAAATTAGAAATACCAAGTTTCCAGGAAAAGTGGACTGCAGACCAGTACACTACAGTTCCAGGCAGTAAATGGGTTCCAAGTTCTTTACTTCTCACGCCAAACAGCAGGTCTGGGGACTTCTCTACTTCCCCTCACCTCCTGCAGTCTACCCAGTGAACGAGAAGGCTCTAGCAAAGGGTACAAAATTAGGTTCCAGCTTTTTTTTTTTTTCCTTTCTATCTGCAGAAGACCCCAAACTAAGTGGTTTTGTATTATAAAATCTAGGATGGTTTGGGCTGGAAGGGACTGAAAGCTCATCCAGTTCCAACACCCTGCCACAGGCAGGGACACCTTCCACTAGAGCAGGTTCTCCAAGCCCCATCCAACCTGGCCTTGAACACTGCCAGGGATGGGGCAGCCACAACTCAGCTGCAGTTGCCCACCTTTCCCCCTTCTCAAATCCATAATCCCAGAGGAGCTGCCACCATCGCTGATGTGTTTGGCCTTGCCCAGCAGTGGATTTGTCTTGGAACTGGCTGCATTGGCTCCGTCAGGCATGGGGGAAGCTTCTGGCAGCTTCCCACAGAAGCCAATCCTGCAGCTCCATGCTACCAAAACCTTTGCACACAAACCACTGCAAATAACCATTGCAAATAACCAGTGATGCAATCAAGATGATCATGCTTTTTGCAGTGTAGGAGAAATAACATGGTTTAGTAAGTACTCTGGGGAGAGGATGTATGTACTTACAGCTTCTTAGGAACCGAAGTAGTTAGGCTATAGTAATATCCCTCTTCAGGAACTGGCTCTGACAATCAAGTAAATAGCTAAATCACCCTAATTCTTTATCACCTCTTATCTTTCCATATTCTTTATGGTCCTATAGGGACAAGAACCCTTTCCCTGACAAAAACTGTACTAATGTGAATATTTTTTCTTTGCACTGCAAATTTAAATGGAAGGAAAATCTTCCAGCCATAGATTTTCTGTATTTATAAAAATCAACTCAAAATTATTTAATCATTAGAGATCCTAAGATGGGCAAGGTATTGCAGCTTTTCTAAGGAAGCTCATCTTAAAAGGACCCAAATATCAGTTATTTATGTGTAAGGTACAGTAAGCTCTTCCATAGATAGTATTAAAATACTTAATCTTTCTGTGGATTTCTGTCCTACATTTCCTATACATGCTCCTCAAAATCTTTAAGTATCCCAGCTTTTAATGGGTCCAGGTTT